AAAGAAACTAAAGAAACTAAAGAAACTAAAGAAACTAAAGAAACTAAAGAAACTAAAAAAACTATAGAAACTAAAGAAACTAAAGAAACTAAAGAATCTAAAGAATCTAAAGAAACTAAAGAAACTAAAGTAACTAAAGAAACTAATGGAACTTAAGAAACTAAAGAAACTAAAGAAACTTAAAAAAATAAGGAAACTAAATAAACTAAAGAATCTAAAGAAACTAAATAACTAAAGTAACTAATGGAACTTAAGAAACTAAAATAACTAAAGAAACTAATGGAACTTAAGAAACTAATATAATTTAAGAAACTAAAGAAATTTAAGAAACTACACCATATTTTTTTTTTTAGTTTTATGACGAATTGTTATTTGTAATTTTACTTTAATTTTCAAAAGTAAACATTTAGTAAATTTACCGTTATTTTTAACAATGTAAATAAACTAAGAATTAAAATTGACTATCGTAATTTGAGCTGGCCTTTAAACTGATATAAGTTAAAATTAACGAAAGAATATTCATTTCGTCGTTATATTACTAAATGTTCGATGTATGGGATTGTTAGAAACAAAAACGAAGTAAAACAAGTCGCCGCGGTTCCCGCAGGAACGATACGGTATCCGTTGCGGTTGTACTTCTTATCTGGACGGGAAAAATACGAGTCTTGAGGGAGATTCGGTTGCGCGCCGGAACGATACACGCCGGGACGGCAATTTTTAAATAATTGACTGGCGTCCGGTAAAAAATGAATTACAAGCCATCACCCCCATAATCTTCTTCGCGTTATATACTGCTCGATCGCATGCGACCGCAGTTCCCTTGCGGAATTGCCTTCACATAAACATTGATTGCAAGCCTATGCTTTACACCGCTTTTAGTATTTTTTTTTTAAATATGATTTTAAACATTTAAAAAAATCATCTTTGTTACATTTTCTTTAGCTATAGCTATGTATACATATGTAATATTAAGGATCCATTTAAAAACCTCAGTAGGTAAAGTGGCACCCGTAGATTCCAATAAACGTTGGGAATCTTGAAACCTAAGCCAGAAAATTTACTATAATTGGTGATTATTACTTAACCGTTGTTAAGAGAGAGCGAGAGCTGGCTGCTATCGTACTGCGTGTGTGAGGTCGCAGGCTCCCATACGTAAATGTAAGGTTAATGAGGGGGCTGTGACGCGAGGGTAATCGGAGGCACTCATTATGGGCCCGTGTTTAAAGCCGCGGACAGATTTAAAGACCCAAGCAGGCTCCGACCAAATGTTACTATATATACTAGGCACACTGCCAAGTATTACAAATTTGGCAAATGGGTGATTATACAGAAACTATCATTTTTAATAAAGTAATTTGAAAATAGTTTTTTTGTTCTAATTTTATTTATTAAGTATGCAAATACGACCTTTTGTTTAAAATAAACCCTGCAAAGTAAAAGATCAAACAGTTTAATTGTTTTTTGAGCAGATTTGCGATGTTTTTGTTAAAAGTATATCCAGAGGAATGACGAGGCAAGCAGAGGAATTATTATTTTATTCAAAAAGGTAAAGAAATACAATATAACATAAAAACTAAATAAGTAATTAAAAATAAACTTAAATATAAACTTGTTTAAAAACAAGACAGTATCATAAAAATGAAATAGTTACTTGAAAACAAAAATAAAAACCTTCTTTATTTCGTAAACCATTGAAAATGGGTAATGAAATAAAGCAGGTTTATATTTTTGTTTTTCAAGTAACTATTTTATTTTTATGTTACTGTATTGTATGTTCTATTATAGGAACTTTAATTTTATTCAAATTCGTCAATTAAGTTTTTAAATTTATTATACAGTTTGAAACATCCTTTTCATATGAGATTTTTACCCAGAATTAGTATCACTGTGATATCTTTTTTGCTTTATTAGTCTATTTTTTGAAGAATAGTCTTTTTTCCAGGACATAAAATACTATTTAAATCGAATTCCAAAAAAAATTTAATTATTTTTTTTTTCTTGGCATTCTCAATTTTTTTGTAAAGACTGCTTTTGGGTATGTGTAGCCACCTTTTACAATTTTCCTAATTTGTAAGACGATAATTTGTAACAATGTCTTAATATCCCAGAGAAATTGTGCCAGAGGAATGACGATTTCTTAGTTTATTTTACGTGGGGAAGAAAATACAACAAACCCTAACCTACAAATTGGTTTACAGAAAAGAAAACCCATAATCTCGTATTCAAATCAAATAATGGATGCAACAAAAATATAAATAAACAAAATACATTTACCAGAGAAATGACCTGTCTGTGTGTGACATTAACAATTTTAAAACAAAACTTAAAAAAAACACGTGTTGTTTTGTCAGAAAATATTTGCTTGCTGGCTCAGTGCAAGAACTAGGTTAGGAAAAGAATCTCTGGTTGCGTGCACGGACTTATCGCCATCTAGGATCATATATTTAGGTATCATTCACAAACCAGAGGAATGAGCTCTAAAGGTGGTAACAGGTTTTATATATTTTTTAACAAGGTGGTTTAAAAGTAATATATATTTTTAGCTTAGTTTTACTGATATTTCAGGGTTCTGAAATCAAAAAAAAGTTACAATTAAAGAATGTTAATATAATTAATAATTAATAGTTTTTTTTCTATTCTGCCTTTATCTTAGACGTCTCCAGTAATAACATGCCAGAGTAATGATTAGAGATGAGATTTTAGGTTGCCAAATTTATAAAAATAGGTACCTAAATACGTTAAGTTTTTTCTTGTTTTAGGTGTGAAAATTCTTAAATTAGGTACGTACTTTACAAAAATAAGTACTGGAAAGCAACTTTTAGGTGGTAAAATAATGTAATTATTGTATATTGTATCTTGAAAAAAATATTATATATAATACCATCATAAATTTTATATTTTTTAATGCGGTGGCATATTCATAATACTTTTGTTAACAAGCATACAATTGCTGAAAATAAAAAATCACATTTATTTTGATACAAATGTTTAAAAAAATACTTTTTCATAAAAAAGCTTAAATTTGTGTAAATACATGAGATTTTTAAATAAAACATGATAAAATGAGATTGATTGGAAAAATTTGAGATATCATGAAAAAGCATGAGACCTGGCAACACTGTACAGGAATGTCACAAACGAAAAAATTGGGATTACCCTGTTTTTTTATTTTTCCAGGCCTTGGGAAAATTGGCTTTTTGGAAAAAAGAGTCCATCGAAAATATCCCATTACAAAACAATGCATGATTTATAAAGTTAAATTACAAAATTATAATTTTATAAATCCAAGTGTCAAATAAACGAGTTATGTTAATACAGCACCAAATATATTTTTTTGCGACCCGGTATAATATTTCTACTCGATTAAAATAAAAGGAATAATTATTATAATCATAATAATAGGATTATTCAGGGTTGAGAATTCACTTTTTTCTAGATATCAGTGTACGGATAGTATCCGTAAAAATTTGTAAAATGCATTCTTTCTTATTACTCTTTGAATGAAATGAAAAATATGCAAAAGTCAATTTTTCTAAAAAATTCACAATTTTTTTGAAAAATTAAAAAAATTTCTAAAAAATTCACAATTTTTCGGAAAATCTCACAATTTTTCGAAAAAAAACCGGTTTTTTTTCGCCAGATCAATTTTTTCGGAAATTTTAAAACCGTAGTACCAACCACTTCCAACAAACCCACATTACCAATCCTGTACAAACTAAATACTACATGGTGCATAAGAATTATGTCAACCGAATACGACAACCCCATTATTATAATAATATATTTTTAACAGAATTTTTTTTGTATACAAAAAAAAATTCTGTTAAAAATAAAAATTTCTATTAAAAATAAGAATTTAGGTGAAATAGGTAAAATTACACTAGTTTAGGTAGTAAAATTAAAAATTAGGTCAACTTCTATTGAAAATGAAAATTTAGGTAAAATAGGTAAAATAAAATTAGGCTCAAATTAAATCATTTTCTTCAAAACGGTTTTTATTCCATTGCACCTAAAATTATGATTAGCGTAGACAAATAGGTAATAACACTAAAATCTCATCTCTAGTAATGATATTTTAACAAGATTTTTGTCTACAACTTAACTTAATATGAAGTTTATTTTCAAATATTCTTTAGGAAGCTAATATAGTTAATCTATATCTTTCTTTAAAAAAAAATACAATTATAGAAAATAATTTGTTTAGTCAAAATTTTGACCAGTAACAGCAAAAATGATATTTTCCATAGAATTACCCATATATACAAGGCACACTGCCAATTACAAATTTGGCAAATAATAATGTGCAGAAAAATGTTAATTTTTAATTAAATTATGCATGAAATGGTGCACCCTCTTTCATTGTCTAAGAATCTCAGTCTTTGAAAAAGCTTTTACGTTTCAAATACCACATATTTTAAATTGTTTTTCAGCAGTCAGTGTTGTAACAAAATAAAATAAAAATGTATGTGTTACATGTCTAGCAAATTCCTAATTACACCAATACTATTCAACTTTTTGCATTTTCTCAATATTAGAAACAAATTGCTTCTTGCAGAGCTCGGTAACTGTCAAGAGATAATTGATGGGCTCTTAGAAGCGAACACTAATTATTAACCTTGCTGATTACTACAATTTCGTCTATATGCTTCTCTCCTCTTTTACACATACACACACACACACACACTCAGACAATCAATAAGAATTTGTGGAATGAAATTTTTACGCCACGTTTAACATTTTTATAATTGATTGCCGGAATTATCGGAATGATAAGTTTGGTGTTGCTTTTTCGACAATAATTGGTACCTACAGACGTTCCTCCGGTTATTATAGTTATGGATTAATTTATAATTAATATTTATTGGATGCTTGATAGCCACGTGGGAGGTTTCAGATATAATTTGCAATATTATACCGTGGAAAATTAATTAAGCTGGGCAATAAATGTTTTAATGCGAAGATTTTTTTTGTCAATTTTATTGGTTTATCAGTGTACTCACCCAACGTTCATGTCATCGAAAATACGATCTTGTATTCCTTTTATAAGCTTCTGCAAAAAAAAACAATTCGTTAGGAATATATTTTTTACCCTTGATAAATTATAATATAAAATGTACCATTTTTGCTTCCGAATTACGTACATACGTATCTCATCAAAACTCACACACTGCAAATATATTTTGCAAAATCGTATTCTACCTTCTATTGTACGCAAAAAAAACAACATTAGATAAGTAAAGCAAAGAAATTTATCGAGTTTTAGTTTATTTATTTATTTGGATTACGATAAAGGAAATATTTTAGTAGGTAAGAAAACCTTTTATTTTCTTATCATTGAATAAAATTTGGCTTCTATTGAATTTGCGTTTTTTTAAGTCAATACGCTATGGCACTGCATTAAGATAACAAAAGTAACTAGAGTTTGTAAGTACAGTATGTTTTGTTAAAATTATAATATTAAATTTGGGTTTGTTTTCCCTTATTCAGAATTTGACACATTTGGTAAAATATAAGAGTATTTCATCAAAGAATTTCTAAAAAAATTCAACTAAGAACTGTTTCACACATTTCGAGGGGGTTCATACCCTAAACCCCCCTTGCCTACGCCCCTGACAATGCCAAAGATAACAAAAAATTCTAAGCTAAAAGAGATTTTAAACGACTAGTATATAGTTCCACACAATAAAAACTTTTTACGAATCAAAAAAAAAACACCCGCTCTACACAAACTGCCATTTATTAAAAAGTAAAAAAATCACATGACTGAAGATGTGGTGGATGGCAGTTTGTGTAGAGCGGGTGTTTTTGTTTTGATTCGTATTAAATTATTTAAATCTGTTATCTGATCTTAGTAAAATTTACTATTTTATTACTGTGGTAGTATTAAGTTTTAGTTAAGGTTAGGTTTTCAAAATACCGGTAGTTTTCTTTAGTTAAATTTTCCTGATTTTAACATTCTCTCAATAATTAAAACGCCTTTTTTATGAAGAAACGAATCCCTAGAATTTTTTTACCTTTTCAAATTCCGAATAAAAAACAAACTACAGTTATTATACAATTTTTTTTCAAAATAGTGAAAAAGTGAAATGTATGCTTGGCGATATAATGTAATGTACTATTAGGGGCCGTTCAATAATTACGTGAGACAATTTTGGCGATTTTTCGACCCCCCCCCCTCACCTTGGTGAGATGTCGTGAGATTTTGCTCGACCCCCCTCTCCCCCCCCCTTAATCTCACGTGAGATTTTTTAAAATGCATGGTTTTAATGTAAATAAGTTAATCTGTGCTTGATTCCATTAGATTTATTAAAAAAAACAATTTGCTTATAATTGTTTACTTAATTTAACCCAGTTTTCTCGAAATTTTACACTCTTTCTTTCGGAAAAAAAAATTACGTGATATTTGCCGAGACCCCCCCTCCCCCCACGTGAGATTTGGTGAGGTTTCGCTCGACCCCCCTCCCCCCCCCTAAACACCTCACGTAATTAATGAACGGCCCCTTAACATAAATAATGCTGGAAACAAACATTTTTTTATGATTTTTAAAAATTTAAAGAAATTTCAAAATTTTCCAAATTTTTTCAAATTTTTTGCTTGCTTTTATTTCTTCAAGAAATTTTCTAATATTTTTATAAATAAATAAAAATATTGTTTTCTTTATAATATTATGCTTTTAAAACCAAACCAAACAAGAATGTCTGTGTTTAGCGAAAAACGTAAAAGAAAGTCCAATTAAGATAACAAACTTTTTGTCGTCGGGGTGAAAAATTGTCATTTTCCTGAACATTTCCGTCGTAGGTTATATTGGGAATTTTTCGGCAGCGTTTTCGATTATTTTTTCCACTTATGAGACGACGTGTTACGTATTGATTAGGAGAATATTGGGCCCGGCGTTTTTTCCTCCCCTAACCTAATTGTTTGAGAACGGACTGTAAAATTAACCACCCTTTTCTCTAACGGAAATAACTTGTCGCCCCCACGAATACATCTATACACAGGATTACATCGATGTAGGTAGTAATGCAGTTATTAATTTGCTTTAACATTGTTTGTCTGAACGCTTTCGCTTTCAATCGAGAACGGGGTGGAATACATTTGTTGTGACATGTTTTTTCCACTTCTATAAATCTGTACATGTCTGTATTCTAACAACATTGTTCAGGGATAAATCAATATTTATGACCTGGTGATCAAATGAGGATAAAAAGCGTTTCTATGTTCCTACTATGCTACATTATTGATCAGCTTACTATTTACTTTAGTTTGTAATTTATGTTTACTATATGTTTTCAGTTTATATTAACTTAATTCTATCCTTACAAATTTTTTTGTTGGTCGCTGAATACATATTTAGAGGTCTATTCCCTTTCGCCAAACATGCATGTTCATGAACTACATGTTTCGTAACATATGTGCCTATTCCCTTTCAATTATTTCGTCCATAGACGCATGCGCTCAAAGAATTTCTTAAACATCCATGTTTATAAACATCATCGGTGTCTAAATGGCTATTCCGTTTACAAAATTCGATGTTTAAATACGTATGTTTACGAAGGCTTGCCTGAGAGGTGCTGTTAGCCAATATTTGAGGTTTTTTATATTATTTTTAATATATAATTATAAATTGCTGCGATATTTGGTACAGTAAACAGTACAGGATCATTATCAAGCATAGTAATTATGAATTAATTACTTTTTCATAATTAATACCTAATTAATGATAAATAATTATTTATACATGTTTCACACCAAACAAATAAAAATATATTTTTTGGTAATGAGTATGAGTATGAGTATGGCAGGCCCCAGATATATTATCCTCCACGATCTCCCGGGGATATTTTACCCCCTTTTCGTTCTCCTGCGTATCCCGCCAAATCACAGCATTACCTGTGTTTGTTGGATCCGAAGTTTTTACGCCGGCTGGTAGATCCACCCTAGGAGGTCGTGGAAGACAGTGTCAAAGGTTAAGGCCGCTCCCGGATTTTTGTCAGCCGGGTCGGGCCATACGTCCAGTTTAGGAAGGGTTTTTGGAGGACATTGAACTGACCCAATACTAAGTACAATCCGGAATCCCCCTGAACCAGGGCTTTAGTAATAACCCCATTCATTTGGTATTCTTAAATGGGGGTAGAAGTGTTAGTACGCTGCTAGAACCTGTCCTTTAACCTCTTTAGAATTGTTTGCCCCCGTGTGTGATACTCAGTCTTGTCTTCCGTATCGAAGTGTTGACGGCCCTGATACCCGTGGGTGCCCTCTCCCTTGGTGGATATTCCTCCTGCCAATTATCGGCTACCCACCTTGTATTCCTTATAAATAATATATTATATTATAAATAAATATATTTTTTGGTAATTTTAAAAATATTTTTATGATTTGTTTTTGTAATTATTAAAATTTATTTCTTAATTATAATATCAGAATACAAATTTTGCTTTAATAATAATTAATATTAATTTTATAATAATAATAATAAAAATTAATATATATAAAATAAGAAAATTAAAAAAATCGTATTGTGAACTGAAAATTTGAGGGGGGGAGGTCAAGACAATATATGTTACAAGGGGGGCAGAGTGTCTAAAAACGACTTGTAAAAACTATATATATATATATATATATATATATATATATATATATATTGGTAGAATTAAAAATAACTTGGAAAAAATATATTTTATTAAAAAATACAACAAATATAAAATATCAAATACCTCTGTAATATTATTACTCAAAAATATAGACAAAATATTAGTCAAACAAAAGTAAAATTAATAAAATACATTTATGCATCTAAAAACTCTTCTAACATTTTTTCTTCAAATAGGAGCTAATAGTTATTTATGTCATTAGGTTAAGAAGTATGGCTTTTTGTGCTAAGCTCAAAGTTTGAAGGCCGACGCGTAGCGGAGGCCTACAATTGAGCGAAACACAAAAAGACAGTTCTTTACCGAATGGCATACAACATTTTATCTTCAAAGCACTTTATATAGGTCAATTTAATTCAACATCAAAGCGGCCTAACCTCACTTTTTTAGAATCTCATTTATTTATTAGCTAAAGATTACATTAAATGTAAAATAATTATTATTGCTTTTAGAAGCAGTAATAGTTTGACAATACCTAGCTACATGATTTAAGCAGAAATGGATTTTTGTAAGAAAATTGTTTACTTACCCTCTTGCTATTACATTGAATTCAATAAATAGGCATCTAATTTCAATTTGTTTGCATTTTTTTTAATAGGTGGTTTGGAATGTTTAAGCTCTGTTTAACATTTAATTTCACTGAAAGCTTAAAGCAAATTAAAACTTAAAGATAATTTAAATCGTAGAAAAAGAATCGTGCGTTTTCTTGGTTGCCTAAAGTATGATACCAATGGTATCGTACTATTAGTTGCCTAAGCTTGTAAATTTAAATTATTACATTTTAATTTATTAACAAATTAACAAAAACACCACTAATTTATTTATTAAAGGTTACATTAAACGAACAATTCGTAAAACTAGAATTTGTTATAAATCCAGAAGTGGCCAAAGTGTTTTCCACTGTATTAATATTTGTATCACTATTTCCCATTTCTTCATCTAATATCACATCATAATCATTTGAAATATAATCTCTAGCAGAAGTTGCAACAGTAAGCCAACAAAACTTTCAGAAAAGTTCACTGCCTTTTGCTCTTCACAAAATTTAAAAAAATGCTGATAAGAATCTTCATATAATTGTTTTGATTTTTTAGGAATAACTGAATTAATAGCCAAATTGGCAAGTTCTTCTGAATAGAAGAGCTATTTACATCCATTTTAGAAACGAGCTAAAACACAACTGTGAAATCCACAGAAACGTCAAATTGCAATCTAACCTCACTTTTTGTTTTATTATTCATGTTTAATTTTAAAATAATTTAATGAAAAATATTAAACATTAACAGTAAAACAAACAAATTAGTGCTTATTATAAATAAATTAAACAAGTTTAGTACGTTAATTTCTTAGAAAAGGATTAATTTGTCAAAACAATACCCCTAGCGAGAAAAAATCGAACTAATTACTTGCCTCATAAAAATTTGTATCGGCCTAGGACATAACAAGTTACAAGGTATTTCTTTATCGAATGTTGACAACAATAAAGTTTAAATTATAGACCGCGTGGAGAGACTT